GTGTGTGTGTGTGGTGGGCGGAGGAGGGGAGTTGTGTAAGTTGTGTAATTGATCCAAGAGAGAAGAGAAAGCTTTTTCCCTCTGAAGCAGGCGATACCCCGAGTCCCCTTTCTTTCCCACGCAGCCCTGGAGTTTACTCAAGAGCGAACTTAGTTCCTTATTTTGGTCGGGGGTGGGGGGGTGAGAGCAGGAGGCCGCCTCCCTTCATGAGGCTGCGATCGGGCTCCATCCTCCCCTCGCTGGCTTGGGACAGTCAAGCAGACAGAAGCAGTGGCTGTGGGGCCTTTCCCTCTGGCTCCTTCCCCTTCCCTCCTTCCAGCACCCCGCCCTCTGTCCAGTGACCCCAGTTCCGCCCACCCCCCCTTAGCCACATACCCAGGCCAGCAGCTGAGATGGAGAAGAGGACGAAGATGGTGGCTGGACGGGCTTGGAGGACTCGGGGACCCCCCAGCATCTTCTCCCTGTGGGTTGGCTGTTCTGGGTAGCAGCTGACCTGGGGTATCAGCACCCACCTCAGCCTGGCCCCAAACCCCGCCCCACTTCCTGCCTGGCCCTGCCGGAGATGGGCTCCACTGGCCAGCTGCTGGGCCCTGGCTGTCGGGCTGGGGCAGTCCCTGCTTCAGGCTCTGTGTGGAGAGAAACCGCTTCTGCACCTGCGGAGGCCACAATTCCCCAGAGAGGAGGTGGCTGGGGTGGGGCCAAGAAGCCTCCTCAGGGCCTGGCTCCTTGTGCCAGCCCTGGCAAAGGAGCCTGAGGGAGCCAGAGTTTGGGGTGCCGCACACTGGCTATTTGGCGGTGTCTGCTCCTCACTGGCCTTGCCCCATTTTAGGGCCACGGTCTCCTCCCCTCGAGAGGTTGGCAGGGAGGATTTAGCGGGGCTGTGCTTCAGCAGCACAGGACATTGGGCCTGGGACACAGCAAGTGCTTAGAAATCTGCCTGAGGGACAGTAGGGTGGGCCCAGATGTGAGGGTCAGTGTTTCCCCAGAGCCTCCGGAGGCCGGACACCTCACACCTCTGTGGGATGGAGGCTGACATCCAGGGAGGCCAAGGAGTTAGAGCCTCCAGGCCTTTTTGGTTCCTGCATTCCAGTCTCTGTAGGAGCCAGCAAGACTCCAGCTGGCTTCAGGGGGTCGCTCCCATTTTATAGAGGAGGAAGATGAGGCTCCTCTTGCCTGGGGCAGTACAGTTGGGGTGTCAAAGTCGGCTTGTGAGAGCTCAGGGTCCCCCGGGATCAAATGGAGAGAAATAAGGGCCATGGTGGGGGCTGACTTGAGGCTGCTAAGATGTCTGTGAGCACTCCCCCCCCAGGTGCACCTGCTGTCCCCTCCCCCCACCCCATGTCTGTGCAGAGGAAGGAGAAAGGCGGGAGCTCAGGAACAAAATGAAACAGAAAAAAAAAAAAACACCAAAAACCAACACTGTGTAGCAGGATACAGTTCACTTGTTTGCAAAAGGCAAAACAGCCACTCGTCAGGAGCAGGTGCGTCTGTGACCGTGGTGGAAACCCAGGCCGTGCAGTGACCCCCAGTTCCCGCGAGGGATCACCTCTGGGGAGTCAAGGGAGAGAGTTCAGAGAGCTTGTTCCTCCTGGTTTTCCCCCTGAAATGGAGAACCGGTTCATAGATCTTTGTCATATTATGAGGTATAGCATTTTGCATACTTGAAGAATTTCAAGTTCAAGATGTGAGATTTTAAAATTTTTTCTTTAAAGATTTATTTATTTGGCCCTCCCTGGTGGCGCAGTGGGTTAAAGCACAGCACAAAGAAGCTTAAACCACTTCCACATGAGTTCGATTCCCGCCTGCCCTGGAGGTGACCCACATGGCGTGGCAGACCTCTCCTGGCCCGCCCACTGCTCCCCTCAGCAGTGTACTTCGTCGATCTGCCTGTTCTGCTCCCCACTCTGTCTCTGGTGAATCCTCTCACCCTCCGCATCTCTGACCTGTACCCCAGTTCTGTATGAATAAATAAATCTTTAAAAAAAAGATTTATTTATTTATACAGGAACTGGGGTACAGGCCAGAGGTAAAGAGAGTTGGAAAGGGGTTAGAGGATTCCCCAAAGACAGAGTGGGCAGCAGAACAGACAGATGGATGAAGCACACTGCTGAGGGGAGCAGCAGGCGGGCCAGGAGTGGTCTGCTGCGCCATGTGGGTCAACTTTCTGCCCAGGGATCGAACTGGTGCTACAGTGGCTGAGATGGCTTCATAGTGCTGAGACTTAACACTTTGCACCACCAGATGCCCTAAAAATACAGTGTTAAAAAATATTTAGGGCCTTTCCTGGTGGCACTTCAATGCAAGTTCAATTCCGGGCACAGAGGTGACCCACATGGCAGAGCAGACCTCTCCTGCTCATCCCCTGCTCCCCTCAGCAGTGTACTTCATCACTCTGCTTGTTCTGCTCCCCGCTCTGTCTCTGGTGGATCCTTTCACTGCTCCTGCACCTCTGGCATGTAACCCCTTTGTGTTCTGTGTGCATAAATAAATAAATCATGACAACACCCGCCCCCCCATGACAAAAAAAATATTTAGGGGGATAGGTTCACACCTCCTGAGGTGTGTGTTACTGAACCCCCCCCCCCATCAAAGCCCTCATCCATTATCCATTCACTCATCGGGCCCCTCCCCCAAGATTTGAGTTTTAAATCTCACTACTGCGGCTGACTGGTCTGCTGAGTCTTCTGTAACCTGGGCACAATCTTCCCCACCTTGTGAGGCTGTCGGGTATGCACACCTTCTTCTAGTTGACCCTCTCTGGGTCCAGGACCTTTCCCCTTCCCTCCAGGTGCTCTGTTGGGCCCCTCTCTGCATAGCAGAGACGCCTCTGTGTCTCAGTGTCCCATTGCATCAGCCCCTCGTGCTTCAGTCTCCCCTTCTCCTTCCAGAATCTGCCTGGATCCTGACGCTGGAGTCCGCCCGCCTGAGCGGCCGGGCCCTTCCAGGCCCTCGACTGCCCCCCAGTGGCGGGAGGCGCGGCGGTCCCCCAGATGCAGGGCGCTCTGTTCCCACGACATCTTTGGGACAGGGCATCGTCAGCCAGCAAGAGGTGAGAACGCGGCGGGCCGGGCTTTGTTCAGATGGGGCCTCCTTTTCTCTGCGGAGGGGCGGTGCGGGCGAGTGAAGTCTGGAGTCAGGTTGCCTGGCCACAAGCGGGCTCTGCCGCTGCCTCTCCGCCGCGAGACTGCATGCGGGGCACGTTACTCAGCCGGGGCCTGGCTTCCTCCGCTCCAAACTGCAGCTGCTCCGGGCACTTACTTCGCAGGGCTGCCCGGGGGAGGACTTCGGTTTAATCCTTTCATTTGAAACATCTGGGTAGCACCAGCTGCTCTTCTGCCGGGCGGGCTCAGGGCCAGGGCCCTCTCTGCCTGCTGTCTCCCCGACTCCCTAGTCAGTGGGGGCCCTCTCTGCCTGCTGTCTCCCCGACTCCCTAGTCAGTGGTCTTGACAGCCCGAGGCAGTCAAGTCGCTCAGGGTCGTGGGTCCGAGCCGAGAATTCCTTGGACAGATGGAGCTGACTAATCAGCACCTTACATCTTCTCCAACTGCGAGGTGAGGGCGCCCTCTCCAGGGCCCACCGGCACCCTTCGGATCCGCCGCCCGCCAAGGGGTCCACTCACAGGCGGAGATCCTGCCGTGCTGTGCCGAGAGACCGCGGTGCGGGGCGGCCCCGGAGGTGGCCCCGCTGCAGCCCGGCTTTGCACCGGCGCGCACTCGCCCCTTCCTGGAGGAGCTGGTGCAGGAGGGACCACCCTCGGCAGGGCCGGGCCACCTCAGCAGGGCCCAAGGCCAGACACCGCAGAAGGGGATGCTTGGGGATTACCCGGCCATCGGGCACCGGGCAAGGTGCACACAGGGCAGGCCCCTGCAGCCCCTCCCGCTTTAGCCACCTCTGCAGCCAGGCCTCAGCCTTCTTGTTTTGACAATGCAAACGCTGGCCCAGTCTGCCTGCAGGGGGCACCCTACCCGCTCAGGGGAAATGGCAGGGCTCCAGGTTTTGGAGGCGCTGGGTGCCACAGCCTTCCAGGAACCCCTAGTCTGTTTCACAAGGGAAGGATGAGGGATGAGGAACTGTCAACCAAGAGACCAGACCAGGATTATGAACGAGGCAATTTATTAACCCAGCATCGTTTGTTCGTTCTAATGCTTCTTGTTGGCAGCTGCCACCTGTGGGAAATGGGAGAGAAATGAACATGAGCGGTGGGGTCTGGCTCTGGGGTCACTGGACCCCCTACCCAGGATGGGTAGTGGGTGCCAGGTATCTGTATTTGTGCTTTCACTCGCAGCCCGCTTCCCAAGTCACAGCAGTGGACAAAAGGGCTTGAACGGCAGTGGTGAGTGGGATCCCGATGTCTGCCCACCACTGTCTGGGGCTGGTCTGGTGTCCCCGTCTAGCGGACAGACACCTGCCATTCTTCTCTGATACTCGACCAAGTGACTGCACACTACAAGGCTGCTCGGAGGCCTGAGTCATGACACAGGAGGCCGACACTGGTTTATGCCAGGCCCTGGGGCCCTGCCCGCAGCAGCGGCAGCTCAGGGATCAAAGAATCCTCACCTCTGCCTCCAGGCAGGCAGGAGATCACCCCTACAGGCAGGAGCAGCTCCAGGCCTGGGTCCTGCGGCCGCCTGCCCCTGCCCCTGCCCCTGTGCTGGGGCAGCAGGGAGGACACAGCCTGCAGGGGGCCGACCTGGGGGAGAGGGCTGGTGTGGACATGCCCCGGCCTGCACAGGAAGCAGCCCTCTTTGTGCCAGTATTTCTGTCCAGCTCTTGCAGGACGTCAGGAAGGTTTTCTCCAATCCCCTCCCCCCACCAGGGCCCCGAGCACCCACTCTCACCTGTCCGGCAATTCTGTCCAGATCTCTCTGTCCCTGAGGTGTCAATTTGCGGCCCCTGTGGGAGAAAGACCATGAGGTCCCAGAGCAGGCTCAGCCCAGCCCTGCCAGCAACTTCCAGGTGGGAGCCAGCTTCCCAAGAAGGCACCTGGCCGCGGACTGCAGCCAGGCTGCACCAAGGCCCAGTCGGCTGCATTCTAAAGAGATGGGGGTAGGGGCGGGAGCCCCCCCGGGAGCTGATGGGGTGTCGTTTGTGCAAGCATTAGATCAAAAGCCCCGAAAAATCAATTGGGAAAAGTTAACGAGCAGGCTAATGAAAGCAGACAGTCGCTAAATTACCTTCCCTGAGCTCAGGGTAGCCAGCCAGAGAGGTCGGGGCCAGCCCGTGCTGTTGCCTGAGGGGCTGGAGACTGCGGGGCGGACCGGGCACTGTGCACAGGGGCGTGGGGTGGCCTGACAACCTCATTACTGGCCATCTGGCCTCAAGGCTCCCCCTTGCTTACCCATCTTGGTTCCTTTCCACCATTTTCAGCCCCTCCAGGGCTTGGAGGACTCGGCGGGCCACACTCTTGGAGCCTCTGCTGAAGTGGCTGGGCATGACACCATTCCGTTGACGCCC